TGGGCCACAGACTTGCCATGAAGAGGGCCTCAGTGTCGGAGCTGGGAGGAGACACTCCCTCAGTTTTGCTTCCTGTATTTCCCAAAGGCACACCTGGCTCAGCTTTTTCCTCTCTCCTTTCTTTGCTGATGCCAGTGAGTTTTCCCATCCAGGGACTTGGAGCCAACTCCAGCCACCTAGGGATATAGCTTGCTTCCACTGAAAAGTCTCCTCCAGGGTCCTCTTCACTCCTGTCACTTCACAGGCATAGTGTTTCATTGGCATGACAGACTTCTCCATGCAAGTCCAGAGCCCAATCCTGCGTCCCTGCACAAACAAAAGGCCCCAAGTGCGTACTTCTTTACCAGAGACTTCATGATTGATAGCAGTCCTCATGCTGTGTTTCAGCTCTGCTGATAAGTGCAGGGGGCACCTGGAGAGGATATGACTGAGCATTAATAGAGTCTTGGCAAGTCTATCAGAGCACAGGCACTGGGTGCAGCTGGGAGGGCCTGGCCTCCAGGGGTCTTAGCCATCTCCTTCAGAGATGCACATGAGTGATGGTCAGGGAGGCACTGGGATGGGGACCAGAGACCGTTCTGCCACCTTTGGGTTTCATGTGTCAGATAAAAACCGGTACAAATGATGGTTCCAGTGGGATGCAGCATGGGTACACCGGAAGGTGCTGAAGAAATTTGGTACATGTGTAAACACATGATTTAATGAATAACGGTGATCAGTTTGGGCAGGAGGTAAAGAGGATGGGAGGCCACTGTGCTAAGTGAGTATGGAGGGGAATGCTGGCACAGAGAAAGATGTGTTCATATAGGAGGTGGAAGGCCTTCTTAATACTAACTCCTAGTAGTAACAATTATTCTCAGTAGTAATTATGGCCTAAATCAGCTTTCCAGGCCCATCTGCTGCTCTGCCCATACTGGAGCCATTTCATTCTTTGGAAAGGTGCACACACACACACACACACACACACACGCGCGCGCGCACACACGCGCACACACACACACACACACACATCCCTTCCACTGTTCATGCTGCTTCCTTTGCCTGCAGTTACCCTCCTCTTTCCCCTGTCCCTGTCATTCTTCATTGCTGAAATAAATCACTTCAAAATCCATGTGAAATGCAACCTGTTGATCACCCTTCCAGGCACCAACCCACTTCCCTCCTCCCCCAGACCCCCAGCCAATCATTCTCTTTCCCGTGCACTCATAACACTTTGTGCTCATCCCTGTTTAGTGCTTGACACCTGTGGCATCATTGTCCAAGTGCCCGTCTTTGCTCTAGACCGTGAGCTAGGACAAGCCATGGGTCTTAGAAATCTGTGAGGGGAACCAGCACAACTCCTGTTGTGGGCGATCAGTAGATGCCTGGTGAATGATGAATGACTTGTATCTCCAGGGTATGTCCTGCAGCTTCATGAGTCAACAGATGTTATGAATATTGCTAGCTTGTTGCTTACTTGAGGAGTCACTGCTGTTTTTTCTCTACATTATGTTTCTCTTTCTGTATGAGTTTTAGGAAGGGCAGAGTGCATTGGACTAGATTTTTCCTAACAGGTCCATAGAACTATTTCCAGGCTTCTCATCTCTGATCATAAGAGGTAGGGAAACTTCCTGATGAATTGGAAGTAGTGAATTCATGAATAAAATGCTTACTTATGAATAAAATACATATCCTTGCTAACTAGACTTGAAGATAGTAAAATATCACAGAGAGAAGTTGCAGAAGCCACTACAAAGGCCCACACATGCCTGGGCTTTTCAAAAGTGGACATTTATTATGAAGTATTTTGACAATGGTTTGTCTGAGCTCCTTGAACTGCTCTGTGTCCAATCCATATTGAGTGTCACAGAGATTTGGCTCTAATCTGTAGTGGTTTATTGTTAACTTGGAGTGAGAAGTACGGCACTTAGAGGCAGTGTGCACTCCAAATGACAGATCACCTTTCATTGCGTGGACTAAGGCACTGCTTTAGCATCAGACCCTGCATTGGTTCTCCTGTCTCTCATGTGTGTATCAGCCACTAGTGACTCAGCTCAGAAATGGCCAGTCAAAATAATCGCCAACATTTCATAGGCACAGTTTTTCATTGGCAGCTTCCTAACGAGCTCACCCACGGGATGCCAAGTAGCAGAGCTATGGACTTCCCTGAAGAGATTTGAGAGATGTAGTCAGATAGCCAATTAGTATTTTTACGTACTTTGGGAGAACGTTGAGTCCCGAGACCTGCCTGAGATTGTCCTGGTAAGACTTGCACTAACCAAGCATCTCAGAAATTTCATACTTGTTGCTCTAGTAATTGGCAGTAACAGGACTGAGCAGACCAGGACTCAGAGGTAGGTAAATGCTGAGTTTGACGTGGCTCAAGAAGCGGTAACTATGAACAGTCTTCAAGGAACTAGTCTGGGGAGAACACTTTTGAAGAAGTTGTAAAAAACAGTTTACTGCTGTAACCTGAAGGGCAATCTGCTAAGATGTGTTACAACCGGTGGTGATAAAAATATGCATGCAGCAGAACAAGGGTTAGTGAACAAGTCCACAGAACTTGTGAAGATAAGTAAGGTATTTAACTCTTATGATTATTCATTATACTATTTATTGGCAGTCACACTGCAGGCAGTGTTTGAATCCCTCATGTGTTATTGAACCAATAGTGCCTATGGGGAACTTCATTCACTCGCATGAACTTAACCCCACAGTTCTGTGACCTTTTGTCAGAAATAAAAGCTGGATACCTGATTTGCCATACCACACAGCAATTCTATGGCTCCACGGCGGTCAAGGTGTGTGTGTGTGTGTGTGTGTGTGTGTGTGTGTGTGTGTGTGTGTGTGTGGTGTTTGTGGTGTGTGTGTATGATTTTTGAGCTCGAGGTGGAGATTGAATTACTTTTGACTGAGAAAATCTCCCTCATGTCTTACTATTGAACATTGAATGGCTTTGGAGATTAGCTTTGTTGTAGGCTTGATAATATCTCTTAATGAATTCAACCTGAAATCACAAGGCAAACAATGCTTATTACAAAACTTACACTGTGGTAAAGTCATTTCAATGACAACTGACAGTGTTTGAATCAAAGTAATGCAGGCTACTCTATATGTTTCCGTGCAGACAAAAGTTAAAAGAAGAAGTGAGATCCCTATGCGCACACAAATTTGCAGTGAACATGAATCCGAGCTCAGACTTTAGATCTAGCAGCTTTCTTCAGACTTCCATGCAAGTATAAAGGACACTTCCGTATTTCAAACCCACTTAATTGTGCAGATGAGGAGCTTCCACATACACTTCAACTGGCAGTGATTCATCTGCAATGTAACATGCTAAAAGGCAAATATCAAGAGAAGAATCTAATAGAATTCTACAAATGCCTTCTAAGATATGAATATGCTCAATTCCAATCATATGTGTGTGGACTGATAACAATATTTAGAAGTATCTAGCTCATAGATTGATATCGGTATTTGCCACTCTCTGCGCGAAGAGGCATTTGTAAAGATGAACTCCATAAACCATCACTACAGATCAAAAGATGAACATATGCAATCGATTTTGATGATAGAGAATGCTAACTTTGAACCCCAATTAAGCAAAATGTTATTCTCCCGAAAGAATTTCATTCTTCTTATTAATAGACCTATACTATAAAGAGTTGTATGCAAGTATTATATTTTAGTTGCAATGGTAAAAAATTTGTGGTAATTTTTCTCTCTTGTTAGGTAAGTACCTACATAATGGTCTTGGTTTTAGCTCTGAACTCCGCCAAATCCAAAATGCTTACTCTTTGCCCTTTACAGAAGTCTCCCCAACCCAGGTTGTCAGTATATTGGAGCACTATAGTTTTTTGGAGAATCCTACAATTGAAAGGACAGGAGTTGTGTGGACCTAACTGGAGTCCAAAACCCTGAAGTGTCAAGGAACAGGAAGGTGACTGTGAGGAATCCTGGAACCTGAAGGTCGTTGATTGGATGCAGGGCATGTCAGTCATTACTTCTCAGTAAATGAGGTCAGGAAGAGGGGTGTGGCCCTCGGGAGACACTTCCGGCCCCGCCTCCTGTCTGCTTTCCAGAGGCATCGTTCGCGCCTCCTGCACAGTCGTAGTCAGAGGCGCAGCCTTGGGAGGCCAGTCCTGACGTCGGACCTCTCCGCCTTTCGCGTGGTGTGGCCTCCTGAGGCACCACCACAGATAGTGTCTTGTCCCCTCAGCCTCTGGCTCCTCTGACACCCTGCCTGCCTCAAGTCAGGCCCCCGTGCCCAGGGACTTCCCTCAGCGGCAGCCACCTCAGGGGCCACCCGCCATCTTTGTGGTTGTCGCCACAGCCTAGTCAACAGCGGTCGAGGTACTGCCTGGGGCCCTGTCTGCCACAGACAATGGAGACAAGGCCCTGGGTGGCCAGGAGAGCCCCGTGGGTGCAGCCAGGGTGTGGGCTGAGGTAGTTGGAGCTGGCGACCCAGGGGTCAGTGACCCTGAGCCGCACAGGGATGATGCGGCGGGCGCTGCTGGAGTTGCAGGGGGTGACATGGCAGGAGTCCCTGATGTGGCGGGGGGTGACGTAGCAGGGTCCACCTGAGCGGCATGGGGGGACGTGGCGGGGGCCGCTGGAGTGGCATTGGCTGAGCCAGAGGTGGCCGCTGCAGTGGCAGGGGTTGTGGGAGGCCTTGGGGAGGTGGGCGGGAGCGGGCAGGAGGGCGAAGGCTCCCTGCAGGGAGGCCCGCAGCCTGTGGATGCCACCCCGTTCCTCGCGGCATGCTACTGCTTTGTGTCCCTGGACCTGGTCCACATGCTCGCGGATCTCATCTACTACGACCTTCCCCTGCTGCACCACGCTGGCCGCCTGCTGGTGGGGCAGCGGCCTCACACTCTCCAAGGCCCTTGTGAGCTCCCGGGGGCCGTGCCGCGTCAGGTGCTACAACAGTACATTGACAGCCCGCAGAGGAGTCTGAGAGTGAGGAGGAGACTGAGGAGGAGGAGTCTGAGGATGAGGAGGAGTCTGAGGAAGAGGACAAGACTGAGGAGGAGGAGGAGGAGGAGTCCGAAGATGAGGAGGAGACTGAGGAAGAGGAGGAGACTGAGGGGAAGGAGGAGGTGGCCACCTTGGAGCCGCCCGCGAAGCCGGCGGAGGAGCCCGAGGGGGCGGGAGCTTGTGAGTCTTCGGCCGGGGCGGGGCCCGGAGGGTGGGGAAGGCGCTGGGCGCGGGCGGACCGTGCGCCCTGGGCGGGTGCCGGGGGAGGCCGGCGTGGAGGCGGCCTCTCGGCAGGCGGGGGGTGGCGGCGCCAGCCCGGGGGTGAAGCCTGGGTCGGGGCCCTGAGCAAGCAAAGGCTGCATGTGCCCGCGGAGAAGCCCAAGGCCGTTCCGGCCTTTGCAGCTTTGAGAAGAAAAGCGCTGCCCTCCACCAGCCTGTGAGAGGAGCTGTGCGTCCTCCGCGCGCTTCCTCAGCCCCCGGACGGGTGGGGGAGGCGGGCGGGAGGCAGCCTCGCGGGAGATAGAAGGGAAAGAACCAGCGCACGGTGTGCCTCGTTTCTGCTTCAGGCCCTTGGAAATGACGAGATTCATGGGAAGTTGCTCCCAGAATACTACGTACTGATACGGGAGCACTTGGTGCGCATTAAATACTCAGGGGGCTTGAGGCACTGATGAGCTTCACCACAGAATTTGTCAATGAGGCACGAGATTTTCTCAAGAAGTTCTAACCACAGCGTACAGAATGCAGCCCACCCCAGTGGTTCTGATCCCTTCTTCTCGAGAAATAATCAGTAGCACACGGTGGTGGCTGGTTCAGTGGAAAGACAGAAGTAAGGTCACTGTGAAACGAGCAAGCAGCAGAAAGGTGAGGGCCCTGGAGGTGCTGTGTCAGCCAGGAGGAAGGTGTCCAGCTCGGCTGATCTTAGTTACTCCTCTCCTCCTGCTTCCTCAAGGTAGAGTAGTGGATGTCACTCGTCATTACGAATTGGGATATTCCTTTCCTGTGAATGTCTGATCTCAAAGTCTGTATTATTCTTCACTAAAGAAACGACTAAATATCAACATGAAAACTTTGATGATGAGGCCCAAGACACTGAAAGTTAGGACAAAAAAGAAAAGTCTGACAAAAAACAAGAAGGCCCCTAAATGCACCTGGACCCAGCAGAGAGTAGGAAACCCAGGCATGCTTTGAATATTACCCAGCAATTCCTGGCATTTACCTGTTACTGACAACTTTATTATTTTTGTAAAAAATCTACTAAATAAAGAAAATCTTAATTTAAAAATTCAGTTTTACCTACCTAGAATGTTAATAAATTATGCATATATCTAGTAATATAAAATAGAGTGTTTTCTGAAATATCCCTCATGGCTACTCATTTGTTCTTGTGAGGTCCTTTGTCCTCTGTGTGTAATATTACTAACACATGGTAAATGTATCAGTACCTGAGACCAATATTTGTTTAGAAAAAGACAGCGGGAGCTGAGCAGCTAAAGTGGGCTGAGCACCACTTGGACTTTCATTACTGGGCCATGGAAATACAGTCCCTTGTACTAACTAGGAGACGATGCCTCTTAGAATATGACGACATACAGGTAGCAAATGTTAACAATTTCAAGTAGGACCACATTTAATGACGGATACCTAAATATTCATTCACTTATACGTTTTTGGATTTTATGTGAACACAGAAACTTAGTCATGCTGTGGTTATCGTTTATCACTGCATTGGTAATTAATCCTTAAGATAGATCATGTCTTTCAGTTTATTTAAAAGATAAACTAACATTTTTCCTTGTCTTTTCTTTTTTGCATTTTCACAGCTGTGTATTTCATAATTTATAACAGCCTCTTTCTCTTATCATAGATGCGGAAACCGAGGGTCTGGGAGAGCAAGGGAGAACCTCCCGTGGCATGAGCACAGGCCTGTAAGGTGGATTGATTCATGTACATCCCAGTATGGACTCTCAAGCTAAAGAAAAGGCATTTATGGAGTTAGGCAAGCGGGACAAGTTTGGTATAGTCACGAGATCTAACCCACCGGTTCCACCAGCATCCTGTGGGAAAGGAATATGGAGTCAAAGGACATTTCCATTTGTTCGCCTTTTGAAAGTAACAGGCTACCACTGCCTATCGGTGGAGAAATGCTGATGAAGAGAAAGATTACCGTTACAAGACAGAAGTCCTTGAGGTGGCCACAGGAAATGGCATTTCCCGTGCCCTGCTGTCAGAGTGCTTTCCAAAAGGGCACTTGTGATGATGCAATTCCTCTGCTCCAAAATTCTTCACAGCTCTCCACCGCCTACTACATGAACCCAACGTTCAAGACTGGCATGTAAGCCCAGCTCCAACCAAACCTTCCAGCCTTGTTATCCCTCAGCAAGTCCCCATGTGTATCCTCTGTGAAAGCCAACGCAAGCTACTCACTGTACCTTCATACTCTGTGTTCTCATCTCCAGGGCTTTGCTGGCACCCTCTGCCCTCAGTTCTGCCTTCTGAAAGCCTCATGCTTCAGTGCCTTCCCTGATGTCCTAGCAGAAAGTAACCCCTCACTGCCCCAGCGCCTGCAGCACTATGCAGTTCTTAAGGCCTGTACAAAAACTATCAACTGTTAGCAGTCATAGTTTCAGATTATAAAGGACATGTGTATGTTCTCATTTAGCCTCCTAATTAACACTGTCTTATCTAATAAAATGTTGAGTTTGAGGATGTGTCTTATCTCTCCCACTAAATGATCCGCTCTCTGAGTTCAAGCACTAGGCCTTAGTCCTCTTTGTATCTCACAAGAGGCACAAAGCCAGTGCTCACTAAATGGTGTAGCGATATGAAATGATGCTGGATCTTCCTCTGAGCGCAAGTGTATCTCAATGCAGCAAACATGTTTCTGAAAGTTAAAAAGCATCCTGAATTTATGTAAGTGAATCCTGTAGACATTCTCCTCAGAAACTGGCAGTTTTAAAGAGGTCTGTCTGTCATCCCCTGGGGTGCATTGAGTTTCCACCCCCTTATATGGCCAGGTGCTGGGGCATATGTGTGTTCTAAGGCAGGGCATGTGATACGCCCTAGCATGCCACATGCCAAGGGCTATATACAGTGTATATGGAATCGCAGCATTAGCCAAGTTCTACTACATTAAGGGTTATTAACACTGAGAGAGTGAATGTGGGAAAGGCAGGAACAGAATACTCATAGCATCTGATACCTGTAATAATAAATAGTATGCATATAGCACTTACCATGTGCCGGAATAATGCTGAAATTTTTTCCATGTATTATCTCATTTTCCCTTACAAAGCCCCTATGAACAGCTACTATCCATATCCTCAGTTATAGGTGGGGAAACTAAGGCACTTGGAGGTTGTGTGAGTTGTCCAAATCACACAGGTGGCCAGATGCTGGATTGAGATTTGGAATCACTGCCAGCTGTACTCTGGCTCTATATTGCCTCACACGATATTATGCAAGATTATATACTTTCCAGGCACTCCAATCTATATCACTGTGTCCTCACAACACTTCCGTGTGATAAGCTGAGCAAAGATTATGTGGCCATTTTGCAGAGGAATAAACTAAAGCCCAGCAAAGGGAAGTGGCTTGTTTGAAGCCATATGCTTGTTTGACCACAGGCTCCTTACTTCACCAGGAGTAATCGCCCCCCTAGACAGTACCACCTCAACTATTGCAAGGAAAACAAGTCGGCCTCGCACCCCTTAAGGCTGGGCCATTTTGACCCTTCCTTCTTCTGACAGCAAATGCATGTAGTTAATGTGTGTCAAGCACCCAGAGTGATGCCCAGCAAATAGTGAGCACTCGGTAAATGACAGCTCCCCTCTTGTCTTTCTCTGTCTCAGCTCGCCCTGCCCACCATCCATCAAGGCTCTCTTCTGGACCCTAATTGAGCAGGTCAGCCTGAGTGGCCCTTGTTAACAATGAGAGATGAGGTTACGGAGTGAAACTGAGATTGGTGAATGAGAAGGCTAGGTTCCCTCAGTTGAGTGGCATGGCAAGGGCAGAAACGAAAGTTCAGAAGCAGGGTCAAATAGAGGTGACCAGTGCTGGAAAGTTTCTGCCCACTGGAGTCCTAGACTAACATCACCAATGCAACTGAGAGTCACCCACTCCCCTCAGAGCCTAGCCCAACTCTGGCCCATGGAAACAGCAGGTGAGGTGGACTGAAATGGGCCACGGAGGCAGTTGCATAGAATCTTGAAACCATAACTTCCTAGAGGAAAAGAAATGTTGCCCATTACGATACAGCCTGTGTGGCTGGAGTTGTGTGACTAGGCTTGGCTGCTGGCAAGACATGTGGTCTTCTGTAACAGAGTAGATCCAACTTCTGTTTAACGAGTCCAACTTTGCAATTATGTTCCTTCTCATTATCCTGGGAAAACATCAGACACTGAATACAATCACATCACACTGAAGGGGGTAGCAAGTTTACTGAAATACCTTATTGAAATGAACATGAGACCCATAACTGTGTGCTGAATTATCCACAGTTCTCAAATATCAATAGGAATACCGTGCTCAGAATGTCAGAAAATATAACTACTGAAAACAAAAGTATAGCTTAATCCTGGCAACCCATAAGTATTTGCCTATAACATATTGGAAAGTGTTAGCAGTGAGGTTCTGCTTTTCACGAGTGTCAAACCATCTTAGCACTTTCAAAGTGATAGTCAAGGTAGTTTCATATACATTTTGGGCGCTTTTCCCATTGCTTCTCTTTGTTGGCCTCTTTCCAGACACCTGTGCCGGATTTTATCTGTAGCACCTGCTGAGGATCTTTGGGAAGAAGAACTAACAGTGCCTAAGCTCTAAGTCAATTTCATTGGGGAGGAGAGGAGAGGAAAGGAGAGGAGAGAAGGTCTATGAAGGTCTGTGGCTGGGGTGTCTGTCCACTGCGCTTCCCTTGCAAAGGCTATATAGACAGACCACTGTACGTTGTCATGTCCTATGTCATAGCCTGAATCTTCCATCTCTTGGTATTTCTGAGTCCCCTATGCCAGTCCCCCAAAAAGACACAATCTCAATGATCCAGTTTAGGTGGGCAATGCCAAAATGGCAGGTTTCCTTGGAATTTTTGTTCCACTAACCTGCTTAGACACATTCCAAGATGAACTTCTGGTAGTCACAGATGCCGGCACAGATGGAGAAAGGAACACTCACGTGTAAAAGCACTCCAGAATTCTGGTGTGCAGGGTCTCCAAAGAGGCACCTGAGGGACTGCTGCCACAGGGTGAGATGGGCGGGTGGAAAGGACAGGCCTGTTCAGCAGCAGCAGTAGGCAGGCCACCTCAGAAGCCAAAGAGGCACCCTTGTGTTTGCCAATGATGGCCCCACTGCCACACCCATCTCCCTATTTCTAAGGCAACGTTTAGGGTGTGACCAGTGGGGAGGGGATGGGATGGGATGGAAGGGAAGAGGAGGGAACGGAAGGGAACAGAAGGGAATGGAACCTTGATACCACTGTCAATCTTTTCTCTAGGGGTTCCTACACAAAGCAAGGTGGTCAAAGACCAGATGAAAAAAGCACGTCTTGCCCTTGGGGAATGTTGCTGTTAGTAACCACTGAGGGGAGGTAGAAGGAAAGGCAGGAGCACCAGGGGTCACCCTCCCAGTATTTGGCTAGAGTCGGGGTAGTGCACTGGGGAATAACATTCTCTATCATTTGGGCAATGTGATGATTTCACAGCAGAGTGCAAGGCGTGTGTGGTGGGTCTGGGTTCTCCTTCAGGCTCCAGCACTAGTTCACTGTGTGGCTCTGGGAAAGTAAGTTTACAAAGTTTCCTCATCTACAAAATACAGTTTTAAGTCACCCATTCCACCTGCCTCTTTCAAAGCATGACAGAAGAGCATGAAGTATGCTTTGGTTTCTTATAGTTGTTGAAACTACCAAAAATCTTTGGACATTTTTTTTTAGTCTTAAAATTAAGGAGACTAAAGATGGTGGTGTGAGAGGTGAGACAGAGGCTTCCTCCTAAAACCGTATATAATATGAAAATATAATTAATTCAACTAATCCTGAAATAGCAACAGGAAAGAGGACTGTAGCAGACTGCATATACCTGGAGAAAAGAGCAGACCTCACAGAACAGGGTAATGTACTAAAGTAGTGGCCTGGTGGGACCCAAGCCCTTCCCCCACCCCAGCTCACTGGCGGGAGGAAGAGAAATGAAGCAGGGAGGAAGTGAAGGACTGGGACTGCTGAATACCTAACTCTGGAGATCTGCTCTGGGAGCACAAACCTACATTTCATGTTGCTTGCATGATACTCTCGTGATTAGGGTGTTGGAAAGCTAAGACAGGCAGAAATCCTGGAGAGATTGAGATTCCAGCTGCTTGTGGAAAGCAAGGATCCATATTTGGCTGCTGTGGGACAAAGAAAGGTAGGCAGTCTGAAAGACTTCCAAACAAGGAAGCCCTTAGCAACAGGGCTGCTAAAGGGGCAAGGATTGCACAGAGTTTACTGCTCGGGAGAAAGGACAGGTAGACAAAATTGTCAAGGTGCACTATGCCCAGCAAGTTGGGAGCTTTCATGATCTTCAGGTGCTCCAGCTCCCTGGCGGGCTACACAGCTTCAAGGACCCCCTCCATAATTCACACCCTACTGTGCCTTTCTCCTGGCCTGCCCCACCTGGCTCGCAAAGTGGCAAAACCCACCCTGTTGTTATGCCAGCCAGAGGGAAGATCTGTCTACAGTAACTACAAATGGAAAGCATAGAGGCTTGTACCTGTGTGCTCGGCCCACTGGTTCAGGCAGTGGAGACAGGCAAAGCAGACGGGAAGCAGGAAACAGCTCTTTCCTCCTCCCAGGCACCCATACCACTCCCCTGTGATGCCCGACATTGCTTCAGGGGATGTGCAGCTCCAGACACTACAGCTTCTGGGCACTAGAGGGCACCATATACAAATATGAAATGCCAAAGGAAACAAGTTCAGTGTAAAATTATTAATACAACTCCTGAGAAAGATTTAAATGACTTCGACCTTATGAATCTTCCTGAAAGGGAGTTCAAAATAAAAATAATTAACATGCTCATGGAGGTACAGAAAGATATTCAAGAACTCAGGAATGAATTCCGGTTGGAGATCCAATCATTGAAGAGCACAATGGAGGGTAATAAAGCAGACTGGATATGGTGGAGGAGACGATAAATGAAATAGAAATGAGAGAAGAGGAATACAAAGAAGCTGAGGCACAGAGAGAAAAAAGGATCTCTAAGAATGAAAGAATATTGAGAGAACTGTGTGACCAGTCCAAACGGAACAGTATTTGCCTTATAGCAGTACCAGAAGATGAAGAGAGAGAAAAAGGGATAGAAAGTGTCTTTGAGGAGGTGATTGCTGAAAACTTCCCCAATATGTGGAAGGAGGTAGTCTCACAGGCCATGGAGTTGCACAGATCTCCCAACACAAGGGACCCAAGGAGGACAACACCAAGACACATAGTGATTAAAATGGCAAAAGTCAAGGATAAGGACAGACTGTTAAAAGCAGCCAGAGAGAGAAATGAGATCATATACAAAGGAAACCCAATCAGGTTATCATCAGACTTCTCAACAGAAACCATACAGGCCAGAAGGGAGTGGCATGATGTATTTAATGCAATGAAAGAGAAAGGCCTTGAACCAAGATTACTTGATCCGGCAAGATTATCATTTAAATTTGAAGGAGGGATTAAATAATTCCCAGAGAAGCAAAAGT